TAGCGCGAAAACAACTATCCTCACCTCAGCTCAGGCCTCCTGCGTGGGTCATTTACAGGCGAGATTAAATTCGTTTGGCCGGTGGATGACCTCTTGAACCACGGTTTGTCAGTAATGCAACATGACTGCAGGGCCTGCGTTGTTGCAGTCAACAACAGGAACCCCGTTCGCTGATCGCAAGGTACATACTTCGAATGGTTTACAACGTACTGGTGCATGCAAATTAAAAATCTTGCAAAGCAAAACGGAAATGACAGCTTTTGATGTAAAAGAAATGGAAAATTGCTCATTTCCTGAAAAGCTAAAAAGGAGGAATTAGGAATCGCGACCAGTTCTCCTGACCTTAGTGCCATTTAAGAGGTCCCTGGAGAAATGCATTTACACTTATTTCAGCAATATATAGATGTTAATAAAAACGCATTAATCTTGTTTCTTTTACGCCTGTCAACCTGTTTTGGTGTGGAAAAGGAAAATTTAATAAAGGTCAAAAGTGACAAGGCGATTTGTTACACGAGTCGTCATGTTACTTTCCGATTAGTTAAACCAAACTGCATTATTTGTGACTTTATGAATAAAAAAGTCTACGGCAAATAGTTCTCATTTATAGTTTGAATTTTTCCTGTAGAAAACTTCAAGTAACTCTTAAGAATCAGCAAGAGGAACGACTCAATACTGAAACTATATAAGTAGTATATTCTAAAAAGGCCAATTTTGCTATTCTTCTCTAAAGTTTTTCGCCTATCACTGACAAATTTTCATGAGCTGAGTCACACTCGGAAATATTGTCCCTCAAGGGTTCTAAATATACTAACTGGCTCTCACTAGTATTTTCCACCAAATCTCACTTGTTTTTTGTTCAAAATAAGGCCGAAAGTAGTTGAATTCCTACAACTTAGATAATTCAATCGCCTTATCTTTTTAGCGAAATACGCTTGCTAGCAGGTCAATTCATTCATAAAAAGGAGTTTTTGAGTAATTTCTTCGAAAATGACAAAAGGACTGCAGCATTGTCAGTTGAAAGCGAAAGCTTTTATCAGCTTCCAAACTTACGCGGTTTTAGCAGGGTTTACTAAGCAATCTGCATTTTTCCAGGCCAACTTAAAAACATGCCAACAAAAATGGCTCGGTCTGATTAAATTTAGTGTCTGGTCTTATTCCACGATGATTTTGTCAAAAACTCTTATTAGGCAGAGATTTCACTGATTACCACAACCAAATGTAAACGCGCAGGAGACATCCAGTAACTGTGTTAGTTGAGATTCAATGGCGTAAAGATTCAAAATTCGAGTAGACAGAAGCAAAATAAGAGATTGTACTAGTCTCTTTATTAAATTTGTCAAATATCACTTTGTTTTCCTGCGAAATTAATCTAAAATGCGCAGGGAAGAAGATAAGTGCGCTGTAAGCGGTCTTTTCAATGTGCAGGTCGCGGGTATGCGGGTTTCTAAAAATGATGTGAATTTGACATTTTTGATTAGTGCGAAAAAGAGAAAACAGCAAAAAACACCGAATCCCTAACAAATTAAGTTAATATATTCGCAAAGTTAATTAGTTCCTCGCTAAGAAAAGTGAGTAAATATTAAAAGAACGGCTTGTCGGTAAAGAACTGATCATCTCATGAACAAACAGCTGTTGTGTTCTTTCGTCAGAATGTAAATTGAATGTCAGGTTCGACATTTATTAATTCTTCTTCCTCTTCAGGCACACGAGTAGTCAACTGTCATTGCACATCCTTTGGCACTGGACATTAACTTGTCCGCCCTTCTCTTTGCCACAGAATCCTCCCAAAAGTGGGCATTTTAACCCAAGTGGAGTCAGTAGCACACCATATTGTATCTGGATTCGCGTATTGTTCTCCTCCAAGCAGTCGTTTTTCTCCGTTATTGGGCACAGGGTGGTTGGTTATGGACCAAAATGCCTCCTTAACTCAAAATTTTGGCACCGTTTTATGTACAAAAGGGAACACTTCTGTCCTTGTTCCATCCAACTCACAGCAACCGCTTGTCCACATGAAAGAGGGGAATTCGTCCACTGAAAATTTCACCTTGACTACGTAGACCCACTGATATTGAAGCCCTTAGCAAATTCATTTCCAAGGAACTGATGCTCTGACCTGTAGGGCGAATTTTGTTCCAGTTTAGAAAGCGCTCAGTCATATCTTTGTCCATCTTTGATGATCTTCAATCTTTTATGAACTTCAAATACAAGCAAATTTAATAGCTCACAGTAACACCTGTTAGTTTGACGACAACTATTAGGGTGTCGCTTGTCTGATTCGTTAAAATGATGCATTTTTTACCCCGTTCGAGTGCACTGTATCCCCATAGGCCTCCTTGAAGACGAGAGAAGGCACAATACACGGGCAGAATCTACATTGTCTACTTAAGGAAGGGATCAGGGCAATTGGCACTGCCCGAAGACCAGGCCGCCCGGCTGAGACTACCACGAAGGGATCTGTACTTGCGTTCCGTATAGGAACGTGCTGGCCGTCACGTTTGTCCATCAATAGTCAAAGGAGCACTGGCCTGAAAGCAGAGTTGCGTAAAAAGGAGGGAATTTAATATAATTCCGTGGGGATAGTTTTGTGTATGTTCCAACTTGTCACATTTTTCCAACTTCAGTGCCCTACGCTTTATCCAACTAGTAGAAAACTGTAAGAGGTATCAAGTGCTTGCTTAAAGAATGGGCAGCTCCGTAACAGACTAATCCAGATGATTCCCGGCCAGCGTCGCTACAGTTGTCAAAATTATTTCTGCAGATCATGGGACTGGGGTTTTTTATTAGATGGTAGACGTCATTTTAGACCTTCTGTTGGGGGTCATCACAGATTACCCCATCCATAGCATTTGCGCTTATTCATCCGTCCAGCTAAAATTTATCACCTAACAGTTAAAATTAAAGTAAATATTCTCCAAGATCAGCTTTGCTATCCGCTGCCACCAATGTAGTGCTTTGAGACTTCCTTGAAGACGAAGGAATGCATGATACTCATTCCGAGTCTGTATCGCCGACGTACAGAAGATCCGGGTGTTCACCGGCATGGCCTGAATGCCAGCCCACTAGGCGAATGCAGTTAAGGCTCTCTTTACCGAAACCGACAATTAAACAAATAGCCAACGATTTACTACTCATGAGAGAAACAGGAATTTGCAGATTCAAGCACATCGAAGACCATACCGTCTTAGTCGCAATTACAGCCATTGAAATGCAGATCCTGTGGGACTGCTTATCCTACTTTTTTGTTGTCCATGACATTTAGCATTTGCTACTTTATAAAGGGCATAAATGGGCGGGCGAGTTAACACTCAGTGTGGAGCCGGAGAGCGCCATAATTTTGCATTGTCTGCATAACCAGTTTATGGCGGTCTTCTGCAATTGGAACAGTAAGGCAAGATGCATTGGGAAAGGCGGTGGGAAGGTTAATGTGTGAGAGATTGATAAAAAATTAAAAAGGAGTACATACGGAACATATTCGCGTGACTATAATTCACCAGGTATGGATATAAAAGTGCCTTTGTAAATCTCTCTGATTAAAACAAATCCTAAGATCGTGCAAACAAAAGATCAAAGTCTTGTGAATCCGCCTCAATGGCCAAAATATACAAAAATTAAGCCTTTTTGGAAATTCTTCAAACCTTGGCCGGTTTTCCAGTGATTTAGAAATTCACTTAAGGAATGAAAACAGGTCCTTCACTGAAATCACGTTTTTATGGAACAATAGAATATTTTGGAGGTAGAAGGTCGGTTGCCACAAATTGAAGAGGATCAGATAGTAAACATGACGAGGATAATAAGGTTAAGGACAGAGAGAAAGTGAATTGCAAATGTAGCTAGAGGGTTTTAAAAGCATTCTACTATGGTGTGAAAAAAAACGGCATGATAAAAGTGCGTAAGGGGCATTCAACCATGACCCAGTGATCGCTTTGGGGTGGAATAAGTTCTTTTCTTATGTATCGCTTTGGCCGTCCCTGCGTCCCCCATTCACTTTTTAAGCTGCCCGTTTGACCGTGAAAAGGCAGACATTTCCCTTCCCAGGGGAGTTCGCCACCAAGCAGTGGTGGTGGACACCAAGTATCCTCCTCTCGTACTCTTACTCCGTCACTCCTATTTCTCTACTGCTGTTCCACTCCTAATGCCACCGCCACCGCTACTGTCACTTCGGCTGCACTAGCAGTGTGGAAATGAATTGCCAACGAAGGACAGGGCCACAATCACCACACTCACCCATTTGGTAATGGGAGAGGAAGTTCTCGATCACACGAATCCTCTTCTGGCCCAACGACGCAGGCAACTTCATCTGCAATGAAGGGAAAAGGGATGCCACGCATTAATCCACTTTGTCCACACACTTCCTACCAATCACTCATCAGTCAGTCACTCGTCTGTCTATCTGTTCTTGCATCTAGCCAAAGCATACTGTGGGAGGGCACAACTGCCCTCACTTTGGCCAAGAAAACTGTTGACAGTGCACCTCTCCACTCTACTGTACTGTACTGTGCTGTTCTACAGTGTGACATGGTACAGAACAGTACATTCAATGGAGCAAACCTCTTCCCGTACATCACCGCAATTCGCACAACACTGACAGTTTCAAATCAGACCC